AATAAAGTTAGCTTTATTATTTTATAAAATTAAAAATTAAAAAAATTTAATACGAATTGTCTACGCGGTTTAAGGGCAGAGATGTACTTGAGTAATTATTGTTCATTACAAACGGTTACTGTTCATTTAAAGAAATTAAGTTGCTTATTACCCAGAGGATTTCCTGCAGTGTTTTAAAAGATGTACAAATGTAGGTAACCCTAAATATACTTATACCAAAATGTCGTTAATATATAGGAGATAGATATATAGGCCCCCCACAACAATTCATGTGACAGCAATGCATGTGACATAGTATGACGTAAAGGTTTCATGATGATGATCTTCCAGTAATCTTCACGGGTTTGAATCAGATATACACACATACAAGTTGGGTTGGTTGGAGCACTCGAGTGTATGAAATAAATAGTTGCAGAAGATAAATCTCTGTAATTATATATTCTACCTCCAGGAATGGCCAGAGATTTGTCAGCAGGCCAATACATATTTACTTGGCCAATGCCCGTTTACTGTTAAATTACGTACCCAAACCTGCAGCTAAATTAAATATAAAGAAATTTAACCGTTTGAAAATGTGTAATAATATCTGAGCTTGACTTAACAATATCGCAGGAGGGGCCAGCTCTGATGAGAGTGCAGAAACAGCAAAGGGTATAATAATTACGTGAGACATGAGAATTAGGGTTTTGGGGTTTTTGGTTTTGTGTGATTTTGGAAAGGTTGCAGAGAGGGACAAAAGGCACGGTAAATAAAGTATCGGTCGCTGAAGAGACCCCCATTTGCATCTAAAAACTCCTTGGGCTTTGTTCATGTTCTTTCTCCATCTGTACCTGTATCAGCAGCAGTAAGAGGAGAGAGAGAGAGAGAGAGAGAGAGAGAGATGTAGGTTTGAATTAAACGGCAGAGATTTGCTTGAAATGGTGAGAAGAGTAAGTTAAATTCAATGGTCAAAACCCACTTTTCTTTGTTTTATGCAGTCAAACTCAAAGCTACTACCTCTGCATGCATGTAAATTTGTAATGCAAGGCTAGCTGTGATACAAGTTGTCAACCCTATAAAATAAAAGAAAAACTAATGAAAAATATTTGAAAATTTTAAGTTTTAACGATAATGACAAAATAAAGGATAAAATGAATAGTAACAAGATTAATTCTTTTTAGTGTAAAAATATGGTTTTTTGTTAAAATGAATAGTACTGAGGACTTTTCGTTAAAGTTCCCTAAAATAAATGCACCAAATTTTCTAGAAAGATGATTTTCTTACACACTTTTTATTTTTTATATAAATCAAATATAAACAACGGCTAAAATTAAAAAAAAAAGTATGCGAAAAGCTAAAAAAGATATGTGTTTATTATTTTTTTATTTCTTTATTTTTTTTCTTACATGTTCTAATGCAAGACAAGTCAAGAATCTCAATGAGACGGGAGATAGGTAACCTAGAAATCACTCAACCAGGAGCAAAGGATGAGTAAATGGTCTTCAAGAGACGGAGGATAGGTAACTTGGGAATCACTCAACCAAGGGCAACGAAGCTTGCTCGACACTACTATCGCGGATTCACTCACACGACCAATTTATAAATTCACTAATTGATGATTAATTTTTAGTACATAAGAAGCACTTAGGGTTCCAAAAGCACTTTTTTAGTAGATAACTTAATACTAAGGATTATAGTTACTAGGCATTTAATTAAAACATGACTTTGAAAGATGAAAAGCCACCCAAAACATGTTTAATACAGGAACATATTAACCGTCGTGCACTGCATCATGTTCTTTTCCAATTTATCTTCCAAGATCAATTATAATTACATCTCAGTTTTGTAAGAATAAAATTTATTTATTTATTTATTTTTAATATTTTGAAACAACAATTCAAGTGTAGTGATAAACGTTTTTAATTACTTGAGCTGTAACAAAGTCCATTCCAATATAGAGGAAAAGTTTAACAAGTAAAAGGGCAAAACTAGTAGTTTGACCAAAACAAATTTAGGATGTGGCAGTAGAATTAGCCCTTGAAATCAGTGGAAAATTCTGTTTAGAAACAAAAATACAAGAACAAAAGCCCAGAAGAGTCCTTAATCTGGAAATTGATTTGATTTTTGAATCCCAAGAAACAAACTCTCATTATATATGCAAATTGTCTCTCCTTGGTTCTTAGCTTGAAAACGACATCACCATATTCTTCTATTAAAGACCACAATTATACCCATCAGTTTTTATTCCATTCTGCGACCACTCCCTCGATGTAAATATCATCACATCCGTATCCCCATTCTTCATACCTTCAGGGCACTGTTCAGCAGTAGTTCTAGTCAACCCTAATACCTCCGTCCCCTTCTACTTCATCTTCTCTCTCTCTCTCTCTCTCTCTCTCTCTCTCTCTCTCTCTCTCTCTCTCTCACCATGGCTCAATTGGTGGATGGAACCTTGGTACTACGTTTCATGGTTCTCATGGCTGATCCAGCTGGTGAAGTAGTTGGCAGCATAGCAGAAGAAAAGAGAGTCATGTGGTGGTAGGACGTCAAGGCGGTATCTCTCCTGAGCTTATTCTTTTTATGTAATTTTTTTGTTTCTTTAACACTCCACGAAGAATTTTCGAGTTTTCTTGACCTTGCAAGCCCGACAAAGTGGAAGTGCAAGTCAAGATAGCTCAATATGCAAACATCCCATCTCCGCTTCGTGGACCTTCTTCTCCCCCTTCTATCCCTCCTGAGCTATTTATCTCCAACTGCGCGGTCTTGCTTGAGTTGCAAAGATGTTAATGTAATTTCTTTCGTTTTTGTTTCAAATGTATGAAATGCTTTGTCTTGTGAGATAATAAAAGCTTGAACGGTCTTCCATTTCATGTGTAATATTTGTGTGAAACAGTTTAATTTACAGTTTGTTTAATTTAGAAAGTGAGTCTAGCTTTTCTTTGGCCAAATTAGTCAAGTTGTTAGATGTATGATCTCGATGCTATCACGCAAAACCTAGTGTAAACTTCAAAATCTTTTTTTTATCTTGATCTTGTCGAACTTTAGCTCCTTAATTAGCGAAATGCTGAGAAAGCAAGTTATAGAAATAGGAAAGTCTATCTTCTTTTATTTTTGACAAACGACCCTATGTTTTGGCTTTGTAGTTCATAACTCATATTCAACCTCCCTCAAAATTTCAATGTGACAGTGTTAGCTTTAAAAACAGGTTCAAGAAAGTGAAATAAACTTCCCTATTTTTCTAGAAAAAATTGTGGTTAACCATGAACTATATGCCAATTGACATACACTAATATTTCTCTCCGTTTATAAATGGTGTGTTTCAGGTTTGACTCACATGAATCCAATATTATTTTTCTCTACTAATTAATATTTTGTTTCCACTTATTATTATTGACCTATTGTACGGTGCTTAACCCCTACTAAAGTAGAACATTGTTGTTTCAAATAAAAAAAGAAGGTTACCAAGTTATCTAACTTGGTAACTCATAAAAGTGAAAAATAGGTAGAGGGGTGTATGGAAATCAAATACCATATAATCAAATCTAATTATTAGGTAGCGAATTACAATGGATTGTAATGTTAAGCTCATGTAAATTTTTTTTTTTTTTTTTTCATATGTGATGGTAAATGCAAGGGAACTCAAACGTATTCTTTTATAATGTCGATTGTTCACATTTTTTTTTTTCTAATCTAACAACATAAATTAAAAAAATAATATATAGTTATCTCCATTTCAAGCTATAGTTACAGTCGATGATCAAGAGGTCATGAATGAGTCACACAAACTACTCTAGACAATTAGACTACTGAATGACGTAAATTGTTCACGTTTCTTTCATTTCAACCAAATAAATACAAATTAAATATACATGACGTTTTCCAGTTTTAATCAATGCTTTTGTTCGTTACGTGCATCGGTCGAATAGAAAATAAACACGCAGAGAAATAAAACATAGTCGTGTTACTGCCTCTTGATGCCACAATTCGAGTGTCAGCTCTAGATTTACGTGTCACACAAATTCTCTCAGCATCTCAGATCAGACGTGTCCAACTATCACCACTTTTCACTACTTTGCTCTTTTTCAAAATCACACGATGAAGTCACTTCTTCACATTTCACCAAATTTGACAAAAGAAAATGCAAAATTCATAAACAACAAATATGTACTACCATCAAAAGAAATTTCACATCTATCCCGTTGTGATATGTCATTCGTCGCCCTCTAAATCTCACACCGAAAATCGTAGTCAATTTGGATTTCACGGGATTTTAATAAACTTTTTTTAAGTAACAGATTTCAAAGGATTTTAAAAGATTCTCAATTATGTATGGATTTTATCAGATTTATATGGATTTCTAATATGGATTTGTATGGATTTCTTTTGTGGATTTCTCAAGATTTGGACTTCTTCAAAGATTTCTTAGGATTTTATTCTTAGGATTTTACCCTTAATCATAGACTGGGAGACATCTAATCTAAATAGGATTGCTATCTGGTAGTTCATTATCATAATCTCCACAATAGACCAAGAATACTAATTGACGAGTCTACTGCTTACAAAGTGTAAGAATGTCGCGCACTAATCTAGAATCAAATAACAATGAAACACAAATTCATTTCAGAAAAGAACGAAAAACACTGATATAGAAACCTGAGAAAAAGTGGAGGGTGTTCCACGAATACTATGATCAAGTAGAGTTCGGATTTCTTCAATTGGGGGAAGCCGAGCAGCCTTTTCCGTTAACAACAACCAAAATTCAATAGAGCTAAGTCCTACATTCCCACATTCAATTTCCTACATAGTCTAATAGCAATAGTACATTATCCAAATTCAACAGAGCTAAATCCTACATTCTCACATAATATCATTAATTAAATTAAACACATCATTCATTAAACATAATCAAACATCATTCAGTTAACAACAAGTATGAATAAGCCAATTAAACATAATCCAAAATAAAACGAACAAAAAAAACTAATGTATCATGAGTAATATCATTTCAAATTATAGCGTATTCAATTTGACCGCTCTTTTGGTGACATCTTCAGAAATGTATCCTTTTTTGTTTTAGCATCGAGCAAAGCAACCGCTTGATAGCAAGTAGGTTCATCCAAATTTGGGGTTTCCTTGATGACATCCCATATAGAATTTTGTCTCTCTCTATCCTTATCCCTTTTCTCCAACAGACTATGGACTCCTCGGAAGTCAGTGGCAATTGAACCGAGAGTAAGTGAAATATTTTCCATAATTTTAGCTTGATTAGTGGTCTCAGATGATCTAGTATTCCCTTGGTATTGGGTTCTGTTTCGTTTCCTACGGTTGGTGATTTCTAGGGGAATCTCTAAGCTAGTGGCTTGAGTGGGTAAGAATGGGGATGATTGATCGAATGATGAAGTTTGGTGTGATTCTTGGTTTTGATTTAGTACAAAGCCCCCATTTTCCTCATCGTAAAACAAGTTCTCTATTCCAACTTGTTCATCTTCCTCTGTTCCACTTTGTCTATCTTCCACTACAAAAGTTCTTGCATCAGTTTCCTCATCCAATCCCAATGAGTGTCTTCCAGTGGCAGTTGCATCCCCAAGTATGATTTGCAAATCTTCAAAGTCATCACAAGATTTTTTACGAATGCTTCTTTGGTCTGGGTGGGCTTCCAAAATAAACAAGAAAATCACAATTGTTCAATAAACTATAAGCATACATTCAAGTTACATATAATATTTTAAATAAAAGCCAAGAAGCTCACCCTAAAGTATTCTTCCCAAACTTCGTCATCAGCAACAAATCTCTTTGTGTTTGCATCCCACCCAAAGCCAGAGTTGCTTCCCATAAGTTGACTATACTTTCCATATTCTTTCTTAACATATCTCATTCGACTTGTGTAATGCTTATAAGTTTTATTACACTTTAGTCTTTCATTAAGTGCCGGAAGTATTCTTGTTGTCACAATATCCTTGGTTAGCAAGCCGTTAGCATCATGCCATCCACGCAATGTAGCTTCAACGAGCAATTGTAACAACACTTTGCTCTCTTCCAAAGTCCAAGCGCTATAATCACTTTTGGCCTTCACTTTTCCAATTTCTTGTTGTTCGTCTCCCATTTCTAATTACTAGTGTGATGGAAGCAGTAGCAGTAACAAAAAATCAATTCAGGACATACTTAACAAAAACCATCCGAATCATATAATATGCAATGTGTTAATAAAGAAACAAAGTACCTTAATTAACCAAACAAATACAGTAACCTCTAGTCTAATCATAATAACCAAATTCATGAAAAAATGCTAATCATAATAACCAAATTCAACACAACAAACAAAACTAGGGGTAAATATTCAATCTAAACTTTTAACAAATGAATAGAATAATACGAATGACATGTGAATGATCATTTGCAGAAACCAAAAATCAACGCACCACATCAACAACAGTCGGAAAGAATCTCCAAAAGTTGATATATACAAAAAGAGAAACAGTTTCCTCAAGCAAGAGAAACAAGAATTTTCCCAACCATAAAGGATTATATAATGTTGAAGAAATCTCGTTATGGTTGAAATCATACAATAAAGAAAGGCATCAATTCAAGGATTTTCCCAACCATAAACGATTATATAAGAGATTTTAGAGCAAAGTTCCACTCCACGAAACCTTGAAACTGCCCTCTTTTTTTATAGCGAAAAGAAAAATGGACTAGTGATCAAAAACTAGAATTTTGATCCTTAATTAACCAAACAATGATAATGGAGAACTAAACACAGATTAAGAACTAAACCCAAATACACTTCTAATAAAAACAACAATTCTTGAATTCTCACATACCACGTATATTTAAGAAATAATAATAAGGGAGTTTTAACAAAAAGTTCACGGTACTGTTCACTTTAACGAAAAACCACATTTTTATACTAAAAAGTCAATCTTGATACTATTCACTTTACCCTTTATTTTGTCCTTATCGTTAAAACTCAAAGTTTTCAAACCCTTTTCATTAGTTTTCCTTAATAACCCATCAAATTTATTCAATCCCCTTCAATTATTTGGAGTAAAATATCCAAAGTTCCTCTCGGCTGGTTAAAAAAACATGCATATTAGCTAATCTATTGCATGTATATTAGGTTTTCTCTTTTCATTGCATTACATGTATCAGTTTTTCAAAACAATACAACTGAAAAATAATCAACACAAAAAGAATGAATTCGAAGAAGCTAGGGATATGTGGAACAAATGATTGAAAGGAATGCATAGATATATATGTATGAGAAGGAATGCATAGATACATATATATATATATATATATGAGAAGCTAGGGATATACGGATTTGTGGAACAATTCGTATAGATATATATGTATAAGAAGGAATGCAGCAGTAATCTGTGAAACAAATCAACCATACCAAAATCATACAAGTTGGGAAGAGAAAAGCAATACCTTGAGGGGATAGAGGAAGACGGTGTGAGAGGAAGACTGTTCCACTTCTATGATGAACTTGAAAAGAAATCACATGGGGTAGGGTTGGATTCTTGATGGCCCTTATATATATACCATCCACTCTCAAATTCCTCAAAATCCCTTAGCCATTAAAATCCTAATAAATCTTTGACATTCTCACTACCCCTTGATTTGAATGTATTCTTTAAACTCTTAATCGACTACCCCTTGATTTGGATGTATTCTTCAAAATCCTCTTAAATCCTAATTTGACTACATTATGATTTCAGAATCTTTTAAAATCCTCTTTTAAAACTCTAATCGACTACATCCAGATTTTAAAGTCTATATATTAAAATCCTACCAAATCCTAATTTGACTACACCCCTAAGTTATAAATGACGACAATCCAACTACCTCTTGATTCGCTAATCTAATCAGTTATATGCTCTTATACATTTTATAGGGCCTTGGTGTTGGTATTGAAAAGTTTACTAACTCCATACCAAAATATGTGGGTGATAAGTTTACAAACTCTATCACACCTCTCACTTTCACTCTCAATAAAATTGGACAAAAAATTGAGAAATGAGGGAAGCTACAAGCTTTGGCAAACAAGGCACTTTGATATTAAAAACAGATTGCAAATACACTTCTAGAATTGAATGACAAATCAGATGGGATTAATACACTAAAGCCTTATGAGAGGCTTCCTTAAATACAACACAACCTACACCTTTACACCATCAATTGACAGCACACAGACAGCAGCATATCTGCTGTCTTTAACACATGGGAACGTGAAAATGAAGAGACCAAATGTATTCCAGGTTGTCTACATTCGGCTAGCACACAGCAGCTGTCTTTCCAGCTGCAAATAACACAGATTGGACTAGCACATGGCAGCACACTGCTGTCTATGAAGAAACAAAGCCTTACTGAGTTTAGGATTGCCAAGCAATGCATTCCCCTACTAAGATCAGTGATCCGTGCCTTACCAATGTACTTCTTAAGATCAATTCTAAGGCAAGAAACTACAGGTTGAATATCTGATATATATTCTTTAATAAATTACAGACCCTATTGTTTTCTTTTGTTTGTTATTTTTATAGCTTGGAGGAATAAATTCTTTGTTGGCAATAGAGCACTCCTCGCGTGTTCCTTCTACAGTGATTTTGGGGATGGATGTCTCACACGGGTCTCCTGGTTGATCAGATATTGCTTCTGTTGCTGCGGTAATTACAACTTCCAGTTTCTTTTAAAATATCCATCAATCTGTGAATGGTCATTTTGTTAATCCTTCAATTTTTTTTGGGAGTTTTAGGTTGTTCGCTCTCGAAGTTGGCCACTTATTTCAAGTTACAGAGCAGCCTTTAGCCTGTTAGAACAGTCCTAAGCTGGAGATGATTGATGTTCTATACAACTATACAGGCCACTGGAAAATGGAAATGATGCTGGTATTATCAGGTATTTAAGCAGGGAATTTAGCATCATAGCAGTACATCACATATCAAGAAGTATAACTTTAAATGAGACCTGATTACACTATATTTTGTGAAAAGTGTGATGTAATTAAGAAGAATTACGGACTTGTGAACTTCATTTATTTGAAGTTCATCACTCACTGCCTAATTCCTGCATAATCCCCGTTCGGCCAAGAGCATTAATGGACTGAAGTGCCGTTTTTTGTTTTCTTAATATTCAGACGGTCAGATTTTATTATTACAGGCTTACCAGCACCTTGGGGAGGTTAATGTTCCAAATGTACTGTGAATATTGAACAGAAGAATCATCACACGAAGCTATTTCAACAGTTTTCCCCAGATAATGTTCCACCTGGTCTGTGAAGAATCTAAGCTAGGGTTGTAAAGACTGATTGCATAAAGCTCAACTCAAATTAATTATGAGTGAGTTATATACTTCATTATATAGGCTTTACAAGATTAGGTAGTTACAATGCATCTGTTATCAAAGATTACAATGGGACTCAAATTACAAAAATATATAGACCAAAAGCTAAGGTACGCAGTGATGATAGAGTCATGTTGAAGGAGGATTGTGGTTCTTCTCAATCTGTTGAAGACTTCGTGTGTTATCCAAACTGTGATTTGGAGTAGATGAGCGGGAACCATATAATTCAAACTTTGGTTGATGAGTTGACGCGGATTGCTGACCTGGAGGACATGTAGGATTAGTAGGTTTATCACTCCCCCGCAAGCTAAGCGGTCGTTGACGAACAGGAAGCTTGGATAAAAGATAATGAAACCGAGTGGGAGACAATCCTTTTGTGAGAAGATCAGCAAGTTGGTCAGTAGTAGCAACATAGCCAACAACTAACTCTTTGCGCACCACTTTCTCTTGAACATAGTGGTAGTCAACTTCAACGTGTCGCATTCGAGCTTCACAAACAGGATTGGAAGCAACGGCAAGGGCGCTAATATTGTCACACCATAACCATGGTGATGTAAGAGGAAGACGAAGGTCTCGAAAAATATGACGGAACCCAGACAAGGTATCTGCAGTATACACCATTTGTCAATATTCAGCCTCAGTGCTTAAGCGAGAGACACCTCGTTGTTTCTTAGAGCTCCAAGATACCAAGTTATCTCCAAGAAAGATACAGTAACCCCCTGTCGAGCGATGGTCATCGGGTTGCCAGCATAGTCAGCATCAACAAAAGCAATGAGGGTAAGAGGATTGGGTTTGTATACAATGTCATGATCATGTGTAGCTTTTAAATAGCGTAAGATACGTTTGACAGCAGCCTAGTGAACAGTGGATGGTGAATGCATATATTGGTAGACCTAATTGACGCAAATGCAATGTTAGGTCGTGTAAAAAGAAGATATTGAAGTGCCCCAACTACCCGTCAAAAATCAGTGCCATCCATCAATGGTTCACCCTCATATAAACTCAATTTTCAGTCCAGTGGTAACAGGAGTGGTGAGTTGTTTGGCATTGGCCATTTTAGTCTTGTTGAGGAGGTCCAGGATGTACTTTAACTGACAGAGATACATGGCAGTGGGAGTCCTCTTGATTTCCATTCCCATAAAGTAATGTAAGGGGTCGAGATCCTTCGTTGAAAACATTTGGCCGAGTTAAGCAATAAGCTAGGAGATATGACTTGCATTGTTGCTCATAATGTGAATATCATTGACAGAAATTAACAAATAAATAATGGTGGTGCCATTGAAGAAAGTGAACAGTGATGAATCTGCCATGGATTCCTGAAAACCCAAATGCTCAAGGTGTTAAGAAAAACAGTGAAACCAGGCGCAAGGAGCCTGTTTCAAACCATATAAAGATTTATGCAAATGACAAACGTGTGAGGGATACTGAGGATCAACAAAGCCGGAGCGCTGTCGCATATAAACTTCCTCTGTTAAAGAGCCATGTAAAAATGCATTTTGGACGTCAAGTTGACAAATGGGCCAGTTGTAGTGCAGCGCAATGGAGAGAAGAAGTCTGATCGTAGCATAAGTGAGAATGGGGTTGAAGGTTTCACTGTAGTCGATTCCGGCTTGTTGATGCAAAACCATTTGCCACAAGACGGGCTTTGAATCTTTGTATGGAACCATCAGAATGCCTCTTAATTTTGTACACCCATTTATTTGGGAGAATGTTCATGGATGGATGAAATGGAACCAACGACCACGTACCTGTTCGTTGTAG